GCGCCGCGCCGTCGACGATGGACACGAAGTCGAAGCTCGACACGCTGTGGAAGAAGGGCGTCGGCGAGATGAAGAACCTCGCGTCGAAGGCGGACCAGGCGGCGACGCGCCTCGCCGAGCGGTCCGCGGCGACGGCGCCGGTTTCGGTGCCGGGCGAGCACCAGCGGGGCGACGCGTCCGGCGCCGAGGACATCTCGCGCGAGGACCTGCTGCAGCTGACGATGAAGCTGTCGAAGCGCTTGAAGAGCAGCGAGAGCTCGAACGCGGCGCTGACAAAGGAGGCGCGGCGATTCATGCTCGAGCGCGACGCGTTGCGCAAGGCGGTGTCGGCCGAGGTCCTGGGCCGGCCCGGCGCGCTCGAGGACGTGCCCCTGCGCGAGGGCGCCGGGAGCTCGAGCGAGCCGAGCGCGGCGCTCCTCGACGCGCTCCGCGCGCGCGCCGCCGGCGGAACCGGCGGCGACGGCGCGCCCGACGGCGCGACGGCGACGCTGAAGACGGCGCTGGAGGCCGCGCTCGCGGGCCGCGACGGCCTCGCGACGAAGCTGCGCGCCGCCGAGGCGAGCCTGGCCGAGAGCCGCCGGAGCTTCGAGGACCAGGTCGTCGCGCTTCGTTTACAACTCAAATCCGCGGCCTCCGGCAAGGCGTCCGCGGAGACGCTCGCGGAGCTCGCGGCCAAGGACGCGACCATCGCCGAGCTCGCCGCGGCCCGCGACACGTTGACGGACGCCAAGGCGACGCTCGCCGCGGCGCTCGCCGAGGAGCGCGCGCTCGCGGAGCGCGTCGCCGGCGAGAAACAGCGCGCGGACAACCGCCACGCGACGCGCACCGCGAAGCTCGCCGCGGCGGAGAAGGAGCGCGACGACGCCCTGCGGCGCTTCGGCGCCCTCGAGGGCGAGGCCGCGGCGCTCCGCGCGGCCGCGGCGGCCGCGGACGGCGCGCGCGCCGCGGCCGCGCGCGACGCGGCGACCGCGGCCGCGGCCGCGGCCGCGGCGGCCTGCGCCGAGGCCGCGGCGGCGTCGGCGACGAGCGCCCTGCACACGACGACCGTCGCCCTCGGCGCCGTCGCGCGCGCCGAGGCCGCGGCGAAGGCCTCGAGAGACGTGGCCGACGCGCGGAGCAAGGCCGAGTCGGACCACGCGAAGCGGTCCTCGCTGGCCCGGTCCATCATGGCGGAGAAGGACGCCAAGCTGCGGGACCTGGCGGCGACCGTCGCGCGGCTCGAGGCGGACCTGTCCTGCGGCGGCCACGAGAACCGCGCGTTCGTGGAAATCGCGAATCGCTGTGTGCAAATCAAATATTCAACCCGACTTCAATGTGCGCGTATTCGAATGCTTCGACACACGCTCTTTGGCTGTGCTTCGAGAACTCGACGAGAGCAATCGATTCGTCCAAAAATCAGCCAAATCGACTTCGATTTGACCGAGCTAGAGAGGTTTGAAGTTTTTGCTGGACAGGGCGTTCCACTGGTTGATTTGCACACAGGCGAACCGCCAGGCCGCGCGCGAGGGCGCGCACGCGGTCGACCTCGAGGCGGCCAAGGTCGCGACGAAGCGGCTCCAGACGGCCATCAAGAGCCGCGACGCGGAGATGGCCGACCTCGCGTCGAAGCTGCTCGCGGCGCACGCGGCGCTCGACGAGCGCGCGGCGCCCGGCGACGGGCCGAACCTGG